TGCACGCGTCTCCACATCCCGTAGAGGGTCATTCCATCCCAAGAACAATACAAGACAATCAGAAGCAAGGCATTGAGAAAGTCTTTTAAATGCAAGAATGTTTGTGGAGAGCCTCGAGATGTTGATGTGAAAGGTGATACCACGAGGTTATTATTAGAGGATCATCTCCATGGCTTACCCAAAACTTCACAAGGATTCAAGAAGATCATGCTTCTGTGAGAAAACTACAAGAGAAACGATGTTCATTATGTTACTCCTCAGGTAAAAAGGCTAAGGAGTTGAAGGGAAGTTGATGGTTTTATCAAAGACAACAAACTAGAAGTGTCCACGTCGAAGCTAAGACCTTTTCTTTTCTCTTAAATTCTCTGTTTCGTTAAAGACCATAATCTTTATCTGATTTCTCTGAAAAGTTTCGTAACATCAATGACTCTTTAAAACGTGACGATGGAAAGCCACTGTGACGAGATAGAAAATAAGAGCAAGTCAAAGAAGCCTCGTTTCAGATCTACTTGCCTAAGAGTTCAAAGGATATGAAAAGCTATATGTTCAAAATATTTAACCTTCCAAGGATTTCACTTGATCTTAAAGGCAAAAGCTCAGAACCTTTTGCTCTTCCAATACGCTACACCTCTCCCAAAACACTTCATTTCTCCGTAAGCACTTTTCTCAAAATTTGAAAATGGAGGCTACACAGAACAATTCTCAAAAGATATCAAAAGCTTTGATTTATTTTTTTTTTTTGGTTAAAATCTATTCTTGATCTATCTTTTTTATTTGATTTCATATGTGCACTACAGTGGAAACCATCAAATTTAATTAAGACATATGTTGCAAAATGTGAACCGTGGGAAGTGGAGGCATGTTCCGTCCCAAGAACAATTTGAGATAATCAGAAGCAAGGCGTTGAGAAAGTGTTTTGAATGCAAGAATGGCTATGGAGAGCCTCGAGATGTTGATGTGGAAGGTGATACCACGAGGTTATTGTTAGAGGATCATCTCCATGGTTTACCTAAACCTCTACAAGGATTCAGGAGGATCGTGCTTCGCAGAGAAAACTGCAAGAGAACCGATGTTTATTACGTTACTCCTCAGAGAAAAAAGCTAAGGAGTTGCAAAGTCGATGGTTTTATCAAAGACAACGAACTAGAGGTGTTCACGTCAGCTTTTCAGAAAGCTTTGTACAGTTACCATGTCAGCAAGTTAAACACTTTTTCTTGGGTTTTTGACTTCTTATTTATTGATCGATGCAAAGAGGATCGTTGAGAAATTCAAACGTCAAGAGTTACTGGCCTTTCATCTTCATCCTCTATATCAGCTCTTCAATTTGTTTTAAAAAGAAACGGTATGAGCTTCTATGTGGAGACCTCTAGTTCAAATTCTTTGATAAAACCATCGACTTCCCTACAACTCCTTAGCCTTTTTCTCTGAGGAGTAATGTAATAAACATCGGTTCTCTTGCAGTTTTCTCTGAGAAATACGATCCTCTTGAATTCTTGTGGGGTTTTACCATGGAGATGATCCTCTAACCATACCCTTGTGGTATCACATTCGACATCAACATCTCCAGGCTCTCCACAGCCGTTCTTACATTTAAAATTTTCTGCAACGCCTTGCTTCTGATTATATCATATTGTTCTTGTGATGGAACAACCTCCACTTCCCACACGTTCCACATTCTGCAACGTACGTCTCAATTAAATTTGATGATGGTTTTTGCTGCAGTGCACAGATGAAATCATATCAAATAGATAGATCAAGAATAGATTCTAACAGAAAAAATAAATAAAATCCAAGTCTTTAATACCTTGCGAGAATTGTTATTTTGCATCGCCTCTGTTTTCAAATTGAGAGTAAGTAATTTGGGAGAGGTGAACTATTTTGGGAGAAGTGTGGCTGATTGGAAAAGGAAAGGACTTTGTGTTTGCCTTTAATATCTTATTAAGTTCTTGGAAGGTTGAATATTTTGAACATACATCTCTCCATGTCCTTTGAACTCTTTAGCAAGTAGATCTGAAACGACGCTTCTTTGACTTGCTCATGTTTCACATGTCATCACTCATCACAGTATTAACTTGTTGTCACGTCTTAAGAAGCCATCGTTGTTACGTCCCTTTTCAAGAGCAATCAGTTAAGGATTATGATCTTTAACAAAATAGAATTTAAGTGAAAAGAAAAGATCTGAGCTTCAATATCTTTAGTGGATTATATGCGCTGTTTGAGAGAGAATATAAACTTCATCTAAATATCAAAATAATTTGAAGAGCTGATATAGAGGTAACTTTTGACGTTTGAATTTCTTAACCTTTTTTCTTGCATCGATCAATTAATATAAAATTAAAAATCTAGGAAAAAGTTTTACCTTGCTGACATGACAATTGTACTGTTGTACAAAGCTTTCTAAAAAGTTCATGAAAACACTCTTAAAGAGCCTCAAAATAATCTTTTTTATTAGTGTAAATTAATCAAGATATTTTCCAACTTCCGACATGAGGATGGGGTTTGAACTTAAAAAAAAAACTGCACCACTTGCAAGAAAAATTAAGTCTGTTTTTTTCCTTCCACAAAACGGTTTATAGAATGACTTAGGCAGGGCGTCCGGTTCGATTCGATTTTTTGGTTTTGAGTAATTTGCCTGCGATTTAACCAATTGGACCGATAGTTCTTTAACCTCAGAAGAATGGTAATACCCGTAAATACTGTGGAAATTCATGTCCACTTCAGAACTCTCGTAATAGCCAGCCGCTTCTAAAATCACCGTCTCCATCTCTCCGGCATTCTCCGCCATTCACTCTGCTCAACGCCGCCGTATTCCTTCTTCGTTCTAATCTTCCCTTTATACTCTGAAACGATGTCGTACGACGATGTGGAGATAGAGGATATGGAGTGGAACGAAGAGATTCAGGCGTACACGTATCCTTGCCCTTGTGGCGATTTGTTCCAGATTACGAAGGAGGATCTCCGTCTCGGCGAGGAGATCGCGAATTGCCCTAGCTGCTCGCTCTATATCACCGTCATCTACAACATGGAGGATTTTCAAACCGATACGAAGAAGAAGAATAACGAACCCAAAAGTGGCCAGCCCATCGCCGTCGCTTGAGGTAAATCTCCCAAAATCTGATTTTGGGTTTTGAAAAAGTTTGTAACTTTGTATGTATGACATATAGGTTTGTGATCAAACGAAATTGGAGCTTACCAGTCTGATTTCAGACTTTGAAGGAATTTGTATGTTGATATATAGTATTAATGCTTAATCTATATCATATTCTCAATACCTTCTGATCATTTAAATTGGATGTTTTGGGATTCTTTGTCAAAATTCGAAGCTTTCATTTTATTGTTATCGTCTTCATGCTTGAGCTTGGTACTCTTACTAGTCTTTCTTGTGTTTTGTTCTTGAAGAAGATGAAGTTACACTATATTTACATTCTTGAGTTGTTTAAATGCAAATTATGTCTATGAAAAGCAAGTACAATCTATATCGTTCTCAATACTTTTTGATCAAACAAGATAAGGGTTTTTTGAGATTCTTTGTCAAAATTCGAAGCTTTTATTGGATGTTGAGAGGTTGATTTTGATTGTTATCGGTTTCATGCTTGAGCTTGGTACTGGTACTAGTCATTCTTTTGTTTTGTTCTTGAAGAAGATGAAGCTACTTTATATTTACTTACTTGAGTTGTATAAATGCAATGATTGTGTACCTGAATGACCTCATTTAGGATCCATTTCTTAGTAGAAATTTGTGAAATATGGATGTAAAAGGTTTTAGAATTTTACTCCCATATCTGGATGTCAAAGGTTTCAGAATTTACTTCCTTTTCTGGAAATTTGGTTGATCTTCTCGATACTACTTGTTGGATGTTAGCGGTGTCAGAGTCTTACAAAAACGTTTGGTCTTGTTTAATGGAATGTGGATGTTCAAAGGTTTAAGAAATTTGCTTTCTTTTCTTGAATATTTGTTGCTCGTCTCTTTGTTGCTTTGGATCTGATGAGGGATCAAAAATGCGTTTTAAAATGGGTAATACCGTCCAAAGAAACTTCAAATTTTGGCAATTAGGTGGTATAGATGAGTAGACTTGGTTGGATGTTAGCGATTGCAGAGTGTTATCAAAATTTGGTCAAAAATCTATTTCATGCTTGAGCCTTGAACGCAGTTGCTGCTTACGTCTGCTGCTTTTTCGGATCACTTATGTGAGAATTTGTTTGCTTCTTTGCAGATTGTCGTGAAATCGATTAGAAGATTATTGGAGAACAGCAGAAGAGATTGTTTTGTTGTGCAAAAGTTTTGAAAAGCATACGAAAGTGTGTCACCATTTTAGGTTATGGATATTTAGTTTACATTGATCACATATAGAGATAAACACTGAAACAGAGGTGATGTGTTGATGATCATTTATGATAATTAAAACTCAATTCTTGGTGTTTTCTTGCACATTTAGAGATCCGATAAACTATGTAGAAGTATGCTCTGATTTGGTTTGGAGAAGGTTTGTACGGTTTCATCACCTTTTCTTTTCTTTAGTGTTTGGGGTTTGAAATTTTTATGAACCAGAATGATAAATCATAACTTGTCACCAATTATACTCGCTTATTTTCTCAGATGGGCTTGTTTCATAGTATAGTTTAGAGTGTTGAGATCCAAAGGAAAGAGATGTTTCAAGCCTTGATCAAGCTCATAAAATACATTCTTATGATCAAATTGTCGTTAATAATAAAGAATCATATATTCACCCAATGTAGTTTGGTAATGCTGATTCTCTAAAGAATGTAAGAGAATCATTTGTTCTCTGCAGATTGTAAAAGAACGACACTCTAAACCAATTATATATTTTTTTTGTTAATAAGAAATGACTAATTTTGGAGACAGAGATCCATTTTAACAGCCGAAATAACCGTTTGGCGCGTCTTAACTCCATGATTTCATTTCCTTTTTGAAGAATCCTAAACCCAGAAAAACGCACCCTTTGAAACAATTTGTATTCTAATTCTAATCAATTCTTCATAAGATCGTTTCCAAAAATCAATATATAAATTCTTGATTTGGAAGGTACATCGTCTATCAAAGCTAATTAATGTGTAAACGCTTTATATATGTACCAAGCGTTACTCATTGTTGATGATTATGTTTCATAGGGGTTTTCTTGGCGAAGAAGAAACCAAAAAGGTACGAGGATCTCATTAATCTGAGAATGGTGAAATTAACAATCTTGGGAAAGGGCTCTACGACCATCTTGATGATGGTGATGATGATGATGGAAGTTTTGGTTGGTGCATCGGACAATAACGCGGTTTACAGTCCATGTTCAGACACTCAAATAAGCAAAGGAGATGGATTCACCATTGGTGTTGCAATCTCCAGCAAAGAAGCTTTCTTCCTTGACCAAATCCAGCTTTCTCCTTGCGATTCTCGTCTAGGTTTAGCTGCGAAAATGGCGCAGCTGGCGCTTTTTAGACCAAAGGTGGACGAGATCTCTCTTCTCTCCATCGACACAAGTAAGTTTAACCCGGTAAGTGGCTGACTATATATATGTGAGAATCTAAATGGGACACAATCACAAAGATTAAAAAAGAAGTAAAAGCTTATATTGGTATGTTGTGTTGTGAAAAAAAGAGTGAAGCAGGAGGATACATGGTTGGATTCGCAGGCTCGAAATACGCAGCAAGATCTTATCCTGTTAAGGTCGCAGATGCAAGCAACACAATCACAGCTTTCACGCTTGTAATGCCTAACCCTAAACTCAAACAACATAACACAACATGCAATAGAGAGCTGAATCACTGAACGTGAAACTGTATTGGCAGGTAATGGAATTTCAGAAGGGAGTGTTGCAGAATCTGTTCTGGAAGAACTTTGGATGCGATTCATGCAAAGGAGCATCTTCTTCTGTGTGTCTGAATGGGACGGATTGTGCGGTTCCTACATCAAAATGCAAGGCTAATGGAGGTGAAGCAAATTGCAACATTGGGATTCAGGTGGCGTTTTCAGGGACAGAAAAGAACCTCGAGTCACTGAACTCGTGGTACGAGGTAAACAATCTGAGGCAGTACTCGCTTACCGATCTATACGCAAATGCTGTAGATTCTCTGAGTGGAGGACTTTTGTAAGACAGACAAAGTGTAATAATTCAGCAGGTGCTATGTAATTGAGATTCCTAAATAGGGGTTTTAACCATTCATGGCTTCACAACAAGTTACAATGATGAAACAAATAACTTACCCTTCAAGTTTGCAAGCCACAAAACTACAGTTATATGGGTCAATACAAAAGAAAGAAATGACTATTTTCCACACACAAGAGGTTTATATACAGAAACCCTTTTGTCATTGTTGTATACAAAACCCTCGCAAAGTGATACTAGCACTTGTCAATTTATACACATGGAAGAATATGAAAAAGAACCCCCCAAAAAATTCCCCAAGATTTAGAAGAAAAACACAATCAAAATTTAACAAAGAGAAAAGCAAAGCCACTGGTTCAAGTCAATCTTTAAGCTACTCTTCTCCATATAAACCTGTGTTATTATTACTCTGACCGGCCGTGAGAATTCTCCCTTATGTCTCTCAGAAGATCTTGCAGCTCAGGGAATACCGTTCGGAGTAGCAGCTCCAGTATTGCAAATGTTAGTTGCTTTATGCATACGTTTGACTGCAGATCGATGATTCATGTGTCAAGTATAAGTCAGACCAAAATGATGGATGATGCAACAACCGAATTAAACCCTTTACCCCAAAAATAAAGTGTGACACAGAAGAAGCCTAACCTGAGTGAAATAGAAGATGTCTCTCGCGCATCTCCTGTACTGCTTGTGTCCTACCAAGCTCACTAACGCTGTTGGGGCGCCATCTGATCATACACCAAAATGTTGCTTCCAATGAGACTAAAACTAACTCAAGACTATATATGGTGGCAAGTCTAAGATACTCACCGAGAAGGAACTTTTTGATTTCACTAGCTCTACGTGCAGCCTCGAGTTGCTGTTCAAAGGTACTGGGTTTAGCCACCTTCATGCCACCAAGTTGGCCTGCGATTTGGAAAGTGTTTTCACTAGGGTCTGTCTCATTCGAGGCCTCTTGACCGTCACTCACTCTGGTAAAGAATACGCCATTTGGCCAAAGAATCTATAGAGAAAATTCAAATGAGATTGTAAGCAACAAAAGGTGAGATAACTCCACTAGAACTATTACTTCCTCTGCCTCCCTGCAACATCAAAGTTAAACTAAGCATGTCTGGAAAAAAATGATCTGGTTGAATGTTCATAGACTTTCCTACTTAAAAAGTTATTATATATTCAACGAATGATCAAATAAGATGTTGGGGTCTCTAAGAAGACAGAAATAGGTGATAATTCAATTGACTTTTGAACAAGACAATGGAAAACTCAATTCTTACATCTTGAGCCCAACGAATTCCATGAGCAACTGTATCTTCGCTCCGTAGCCAACAGATCTCCCTCAGGAGCCAGTCATCCACAGCATCTTCCATAACTAACTGTAATATTTGCTTTGATATCCAGAAAACTTGCCTCCTATAATAACACCACAATATCTAAGATTATTCGAAAAACACCATGTGATACAGGACCTAGTCAAATAGAATAGCGTGCTCTATGTAAAATAAACTCAGATAGAATAACTCCTTCGTCTCACCTTAACCAACCTCTTCTGTTTAACTGAAACACTTTATCAACTAGGTTCAAAATTGGCACACTGACATTGGGCGGCATCCACTGTATCGAAAAGAAAAGGATTTAAAATTAGAAGATGCCCAAAGAGTATACTAACAACTTAAAACATCTTTGGTGATATGTCTCATTAAGCATAATTCTTTTTCAGGTGCATCAAAGACATCATGACATACATAAGCAAAACGACACAATCTGCTAGATGACAACCAGTAAAACTGTAGATTATGCAAGGGAGACTAAAGAACCAATTATGCTATACCTCGGGTGGCATGCCAGTAGGATTCTGAACCAAACTTGTCGATGGATCGGCGTGCTGCGAATCGCTGAACCCCCTTACTTCAGATTTGGCCTTAAACTCGTTTTCCGTTTCCGGGGGAGAATTCTCTGGCTCTCCAAGACGTCTAACCACTCTCGGTGGGAAATACTTAGAGTCCAATTCATTATCTGAATGCCACCCATTAGCTTCTGAAACAAGTCCACCTTCCCCTTGGATGCTCTCTCCAAGTTTTTCAATATCTTCGGTATCCGAAATGCTGCTGTGCGTTGATTCAGTTGCAACTTCCTTAGAGAGGTGAGTGTTTATATCATGTACACTCCAGGAGAGGTGGCGGGAAGGAGCAAGATCATTTTCTTCAAGTGGAGATCCTACAACCTTGCGCATAAGGCCACCTGAAACCCCTTTAAACTGACGTACAATATCGTCCATGGCATCATCAACATTAACTGCTCAATTCCAAGAAAGGAGATTTAGTAAAATGGAAAAGTAAAAAAGCAAACACAAAACCAATAAGCATTTATCTCTTCATTCTAATTGTTTTTTTGAGAATTCAGTTTCTTAGCATACAAGATTTTTTGATAAACGGGTACTTCAAGGCGAGGGTTGAGCTTTATATACAGCTACATGTTACCAAACAGTAGCGTCAACAATACCTGCAAGAGTTTTCATCACCGATGAAGACTTTCCAAAAGAATAATTCTACAGAACGAAAACGGCAATCGTTAAATCATCCATCCAAATGAAAATAGAAAGCAATGAAATTTTGGGGGGTGGCACTTAGTCAGGTCCTCACTTTTGAGGAAGCACTTAGAAAATCCCAAACTTCATGCTGTTCAGCAACATTAGCTATGGACAAGAGATCCTGCAGACAAGGAAAAAAACGCTTTAATAAAAGAGAGTGTTTAATGGTAAATATGTATTTTAAGTTGTTTAAGGGACTAAATAGTACTTGTAGATACTTGTCCAGCTGAATACAGCGGCGATGAACAAAAGAATCTTCAGTGCTTGATGAGAATATACGCTTCGGGGGTAACTGTAAATTGTAGTTCGGGATTTCTTTGAGTTGACGATGCAATCTCTCGAAATTACTGTATCTGGAGGGAAGAAAATAGAAAATTTACAATCGAGTTGCAGCAATCTTGTTCCTTTTACGAACAAAATCAACATTAAAAGCTAGTGACATGAGAACTGAAGTCCAATGATGCACTGATATTTAATTTCTCGCTAGCAGAAAAGATGAGAAAATAACCTTCTCTTAACAAACCAAGTTTTGTTTTCCGTATCTGTCACCGCAATAGAATATACTGCAAATGATTTTGATGCCAGCTTCTCAAAATAAGCTCCCAGAACCTGCAGTAAGATACAACCTTATGAGCGTTCTTCAATACATACAAAAATGGTGATCTTACGTGAACAGCATAATAAATTGCGAAAAACACACACAAAACGGAAAAGGTTGTTCAAGTGCATGCCTCTCACACAGAAAGAAAAATTAAGAACTGGTAAATTAGATCAAAATCCAAAAGTAATATCGAGACCAGAGCTTACCCGACATTTCAGCTTTATACAATGCTGACTCTCTTTGTGAAGAACAATGTTTGTGGATCTATTATCAGATGTATAATTCTCACTGTGCTTGATAAAATCAGTGGTGTAGAATTCCTTGATAATAGGCCCCTCACCGACTCCTAATAGTGCCAGCCTCGTGTCAGGATTTGAATTAAGATCCGACGTACTGTTGGATCTCTTAAGCCTAGTTTTACTTCCATCAGAAGGTGTCTTCTTTCTATCATCAACCTCATAGATGTGGTGCCCTCCTTCATATGAAGCTGATCTACCAAAATCCTCGGCCATCTGTGCTTGTGACTGCTTATCAACGCTTACTTTAGGAGGCAAATGTGCCACTGCCTTTTCTTCTGTTCCAGTGGAAGTCCTCGATATGGAGCTTTGATTTTTCTGTTTGGCCTCTAGTGGATTACTAACCGATGAACCCTTTTTCAGAGATTTTTTGTACTCCTTCTTTTTGTAGTTTCTTCCTTTTGTCCACATGTTTTCAAGGTTTTCGGGAGTAAGAACCTCTGTTCTCCTTTGTGTAGCGACCTCTAGCATCCGAGCCCAATCAGCCGAGTGCTGTTGAATGCGTAGTTCTGGGTGTCCTTCATCGTCGACGAATGGTGTTTTCTGCTCGTTAACTTTTGTCAAATTCATATTTTTTGCTTGATTATCGAAGGCTGACAATGGGGCAGAGACAACACTTTGTTCTTCCCCCGAAAACTGCTCAAAGTTTCCCTCTTTAATAACATTGATAATGATCTCAATCACCTCATTGATACGCCTGTGGCAGAATGGAAGTTTAATTAGCATCTCTACCTTCGAAAAACTAAAGGCAGAGTTCAAAGTAGATGGCAAGCACTGAGGAGAACCCATGAAAAATAAATTCCATTGGACGCATTTATCCGAAGTCATTCTTCTGGTAACTTAATTTGGTTTCAGGAAACTCTGAAATCTTAAGTTGTTCCTAGCTAGTTTGCATTATACCCCAAACATAATTTTCTGGAAGACAGAGATAGGCAGGGAACTTACTCGGGGGATGCTAAATTCAGAAGAGGTTGAATTACCAAGCAAGTAACAATCTCTCTAGCTATCGTTCGAACAAGAGGGCACTGAGCTTCTCGTGGTCTGAGAACGACAGATAATATGCCAGCGACTATTTTCTGAAGAACCTGTTAGAAAAATAAAGAGCAAGTTTGTGTAAAGGTAACCAATTTAGGAGGGATACTAAAAACGCCGCTGCGCAATTTTCATCTGAACTATCCCTCATACCTTGTACTCACTCTCAGGTGATATGAGTGCAGGATAAAGTTCCCTAGAAGCCATAAGATGGAATTTCAATCTTTCATCTCTCTCCTCAGATGACAATGTCTTCATAACATCAGTACCTATAGCAGCGTGATTTCTTCTAAAAATCTCCAAATGATCACCTATCAGATCAACTATATCCCTGCACAATTAGGCATCGACTTCATTACCATCCAACAAAGATCCAATCTAAACTCGAGACTTTTGATGTAAAGGAAGAGAATAAAGGACGGCACCTGGTTAGCAAGTCAACGATATTTATCTCTTTTACTCTCACTGAAATT